GGCGTATTAAGTTAACCAATAGGCCATCTAGGCTTGAACTTGGAGCGCAAAAATTTGAGGGGCGCATCCTAGAGATAAAAAATTTCAAAATAAATTCAATAAAACAAATTTCCATTCATATCATTACATTTTAATTTTTCGGTGTTTTTGTGTTGGCGGATAACTTTCTGGTGTGTCATTCGAGAAGGAAGGGGCTTATCTAAAATTGTGGACCAAGAGCGCCAGTTAACCATAATCTCCCACTGCCTCTAAATCACCTTTTCCTTGTTGAAATTCACGTTTTTGTGCAAAGAAAAATTCGCAAATAAACATTCTTTTATGTTATAAGAGTCTCGTCCCCAAACGTGCTCGCCATTTCAACCGTGGAGGCATTATTATGTACGAGTAATCCCACTATTCGTTGGTAAAAAGGATCCCAAGAGTTGGCGTAGATAGTGCTGACTAGCTGCCTTATTTCTGGTCTATCATTTTAAAACTAGAACGGCTAATGCAGTAGCCCTCAAGTAGCTTTGTGCAAAATTCGACAAAACAAAACAAAAACTATTTAAGTTATAATTTAGCGTACATTATTTTACTTACGTAACATTAATAATAAGGTTGGGATGTAGAGAGGGGGGGGACAAGACATTTTTGCCCCAAGGTTTTCATAGGCCTATATACACCACTGATACTTTTATTAATATTTGCAGTTACTACTCAAATTTATTATTATTTAAATAATTTTAGGAAGCCCCTAAAGCACACACACCCACACATATAAAAGTGCGAAATTTATTAGATATCGTTTAGGCCAATGGTACATCTTACGAATACATTTTCCAGAATTATACACATTCTAGCGTAAACAGTATAACATATAATAAAATATTTGAATATAAATAGAATATTTTCTACTATAGTATCATTAGCAAACAGAGAATTTTGCAATGGTATGTAACACCATCGTAGGCGTGGCTGGTTGACCCACAAAGCATTGCGAAAAGTTGGAGTTATATTAATATTATAGTTGCTTGTGTGGTTGTGAGTGTAATTGGTATATGAAAAGGTAAGAGCTTTCGATGAGAGTGGAATTTAAAAGTAAGAATCGGCATAACTGTATTTTAATAAGACTAAGTGTTAATTATTTGAATTACTTTAAACAAACAATCATTGTTTTTACACGTAGACTCGAGTACTGTACTGTGTACAATAAAAAAATGTATACTTTATTTAGTTTATTACTTATAACTTATAATTATTGTGATAGTGATAGGTGTGTAATAGTCTTAATTAGTAATGTTGTATGAGTAACGTTAGTTCTAGTAATTTTGTAGTTCAGTAGGCTTACTTACCGCCATTGACTACCGGTACGTATCTCCTGCCTCAGATCTAAGCTAGCAACTAATTTCAGGCCCAATATAAATTGTAAGTAGACGTAAATGTAAGTGTGGCGTTGTATTGTATTGAATCTTTCCAAGCTATATTCTTCCTATAGCTGTTCTTCCCGGTGGCTCAGCAGTAAGTTTGAGGGCTTATAATATTGTTATAATGCTAAAAATCGTGTTTCGATATTCACTCTGGAGACATCATAGTATCACCCATTGTGTAGATTTGTGTTTTGTTTAACTTTCTTAAGCCTTGACAACAAAGGTCATATAGGAGTGACTTCTCTGATATTACTATATATCAGCTAAGAAAACTTTTTTGTTGTTGAATATATTAATTTAATTGAGCCTTTAAAGTGTTAATAATGATTTGTGAAAGGAATTCAGTATCACATTTCATCAGCTTGCTTTTTCCAAGGAGTCTAGACTTCCTTTTATTTGGAGAAGGCATATTTTGTGGATATGTGAAGAACCCCTACATAGGACTAGGGGCCACAAATATAAATTTTGGCAAGGTAGGAGTCATCTTCAGTTAA